CAAAGATGGGCTTCCCCCACCATTTGCATTTCATCTCTCCTCCCACTCCCATGCTCATTCCAGAGCCCTCCCCAAATCTGCACCCCTCCCTGCTCCCCGGGGCCCCTGGCCGGCCTCTCCTGCAGAAACCTCAGGCTGGGCTTTGGCCCTGAAGCCTCGCTGGGGATGGGCAGCCATCAGGGAGCCAGGAAGGCAGGAGGGCCAGCGTCCCCCTCCTCAGGCCCAGCGTCCCACCCACCCAGCCGGCTGCCTGTCTGCCTTCCTGAGCTCATTAACTGCAGGTCACTGTTCAGCAGGAAAGACAAGGCGTGGGTTCTGCGGGCGTTCATTAGCCGTGAGAGGAACAGTGTGTGTGAAATTAGCAGTCACCTGAGGACCTCGATAATTTCATAATTAGGAGGCCTAATGGCTCCAGCTCTGGATGCCAAATGACTTAACCTCTTGTCTGCTGGGCACCTAACCCCCCTACCCAAGGCTGAGGGAAGGCCCTGCAGTACCCCCTCTGCTCCAGTTCCCCACTTCCTGTGGTCCAACCAGGTTCATCTTTGCCTCCCAGTGCCCTGCACCACTGCTGGCACAAAAGGGATGCAAAAGCATTAGTGGAATGAATGAATGAATGAATGAATGAATGAATGACAGAGCAGGTGTCTGAATGGCAAGAACTTCAGCCCCTACTGCAGGTGCTCAGGGAGGAAGGCCTTGCACCTGTGTGAGTAGGTGTGGAGCTGTGTGCATGCCTGTGTGTGTGTGCACTTCTAAGAACCTTGAGTGTGTCCTTGTCCATGCTCACATCTGCTGCCTCCTGTGTGGAAACAGGGTGCTCCCCATGTGATGGGGCTTCAAGTGCTTTCCTTGAAGCCAGCCTCTCCTGGCATCATCTGAATAATGAGGGCTCCAAATTTTCTTTATAGGGGCACACTTGAGAGGAAGAGGGAGCCTAGGGGCTTTGCCTTGGGCAACTGGTGCTAATAATGGGGGAAAGTCACACCCTTTAACATGGGGGAGCGAGTGGTGATGGCTTCCTAAGACCCCTGCCTTTCTAAGCCTGCTCCCCTCCTCCCGACCCTCCCCTGGCCCTGAGGAGGGGGAAGGCTGAGGTGGTGGGTGCGGTCCCCCGGGACTCCTGGCTGGCTTAGGCCTTCCCCAACCTGGGACAACTGGTTCCAACCGCCAGTGACCCAGCCTCACACCCCAATAACAGAGCGGAAGTGGGAGGAGGTACAAGGGGTGGGAGGAGAAAATGAAATGGGAGGAGAGGAGTTCGAGGAGAACAATAAAGGGCTAGAGAGGGAGACCAGGAGGGGGGAGGGTAAAGAGAGGGGGTGGAGAAAGGATGGGAAGTCCCAAGGAGGTGAGAGAGAAGATAAGAGAGAAAGGAGGGGAGGGAATGGGAGAGGAGAGGCAAGGAGGCTGAGAGCATTATCAGCACTTAAAAAGCGAGCAGCTCAGTTCTTTGGCACAAATAATGGCTTTTTATGAATAAATCATGTGTCAGACGCCTCCCAGGGAACAGGCATGGAGGGGGGCGCGTCTGCTGGGCTCCATGGCGGGCAGGGAAGGGCCGGTTGCAGACCCCCAGAAGCAGGGGTGTTGCCCCCTTTCTCCCGCTGGGGCCCAGCCCAGGAGCTGTCTCTGGAATTGCCACTGGCCTGAGCCGGGCCAAGCTCAGTCAGTAAGGTGGTCTCACTGCTTCTCTGCTCAAGAGCCTGGCGCGTCCCAGGAATGTCCCTCTGCTCCCCTCCCCTCCCTCCTCCTCCCACAGCAGAGCAGCCCATAAGGCGCTCCTGGCAGGGGAACAGCAGCTCAGGTGCAGGTGGAGAGAGGTCTGCGCCAAGACAGCCAGACACATCGAGGGAAGAAGGCATGCAGCACACACCATTCACACAGGCACGGGCTCCTCGGCTCCGAGGGCACATGTGGGCACACCCAGAGATGGAGACACTGTCATTCTCCACACACACACACACACACACAGAGATGGAGACACTGTCATTCTCCACACACACACACACACACACACACACACACACACACACACATACACAGATGGAGACACTGTCATTCTACACACACACACACACACACACACACACACACAGATGGAGACACTGTCATTCTACACACACACACACACACACACACACAGATGGAGACACTGTCATTCTCCACACACACACACACACACACACACAGATGGAGACACTGTCATTCTCCACACACACACACACACACACACACACACACAGATGGAGACACTGTCATTCTCAACACACACACACACACACACAGAGATGGAGACACTGTCATTCTCAACACACACACACACACACACACACACACACAGATGGAGACACTGTCATTCTCCACACACACACACACACACACAGATGGAGACACTGTCATTCTCCACACACACACACACACAGATGGAGACACTGTCATTCTCCACACACACACACACACACACACACATACACACACACATGTGCGCACATGCATATGGGGCTACATTGACACACACAGACCTGCACACACCAGCAGCCTACCCTCCGTCAAACAGGGTGGGAGCAGCTTTGCAGCCCATATGGAGCCCAGATCCAGCTGGGCTGCCCCAGATTCTGATGGTGGGTGGGGCCAGGGCACATGTCCCAGGGAGGGTCCATCAGCCTCCATGTGCTCTCCACCCAGCAAGAACACCTACCACACCGCAGTGAGGTCTTGGCCCCCAACTGAGCCCAGAACCTGCCCAGGTGCTGCTGGCTCAGGGCTCCTTGGCTCTTCTGCTCACAGCCACCCCCCTTCCCCCACCCCCGCCTCCCCGGAGGCAGCAGGGGCCAGAGCCAGAGCATCAGAGGCACACAGTCTGGGCAAGAACCCTGGCTTTGTCTCTTGCTGGTTGTATAACCTCTGAGAGTCATTCCAATCTTATTTGCTCCTCAAAACAAATCTGAGGCAGATGCTATTGGCCCATCTTCCAGACCAAGAGAGTGAGACTCCGAAAAGTAAATGCACTGGACCTGACTCTTCACAAATTCTAGGAACCCAGTGTTCTTTCTTCCTACTCTCCATGGGGCTGCTCCTTCTCAGCCAGTGGCTCCTCTTCCTGTGCCAAGCTGTTCTAAGGTATTCATTCACCAGAGCAGACCTCAGTCATCTGCTCCTCCCACTCCGCACACCCTCCACGCCACTGGCAACACCTCCATGACAGCCTCCCTGTTGGTTTTCTGACCTCCCTCTCCAGCCCAGACACCTTCCTGGGCTTCTGGCCCCTCTCTCCAGCGGAACCCTCCAGGCTGGCATGTTGCCCAATGCCAGGGAGTGCCATTCACACCGTGTATGTGCTCCTGAACATCCCTCCCCAATCCCACAGGACATGATTCAGGTTGAGCCTGGTTGAAGCTGAGTGCACCCGTCTTCCCCAGGGCTCCACCAGCCTGAAGTTCCCCATCTCAGGGGAGAGCTGTCTGCCCAACCAGAAATCAGGCATCACTTCTCTCTCCTTTCTCCCCCATCACCCCCCCTGCCTCCCGTCCAATCCACAACTGTCCCAGTGACTCTATATGTGAACTCGCCCTTTCCCCTCCAGCCCCACTGCCCTCCTCCTCTCCTGACTTTAGTCAGACCAGCACCTCTAGCCTGGCCACTGACCCCCACCCATTGCTGTCCTCTCTGGCCCATCTGCCTCCCCCTCATCAGGTAAGCTTTCCACCTCTGAATTTTGGCCACACTAAACTGCTTTTGGCTCTGGAGCCCGCATGATCACCTGACTCTGGGTCTCTGATCATGCCGTTCCCTCCCTCTGAAGCCCTTCCCTTCCCAATGCCAACTCATCCTTTAAGGCTCAACTGAGGCAATGCTCCCTCCACGCTTCTTCCCCGACTCCTCAAGCATGCGATAAATGCTATTTGTTCCCACACAGACCCCTGGCTCCTCCACTCATTATAGCTCTGATATCTACAATCACCTATTTAATCATCTGTGCACCCCTCCAGCCCCTAAGTTTCTTGAGGGCAGAGAGTATACCTATGTTGCTTTCTATGGCAGCCCCAATGCTTGGTACAAGACCCATCACAGCCCATCTGGCATAGCTCAGTGGTTGAGCATCGACCTATGAACCAGTGGTCACAGTTAAACTAATCAGGGCACATGCTTGGGTTCCGGGTCAGTCCCCAGGGGGGCATGCAAGAGGCAGCCGATCAATGATTCTCTATCATCATTGATGCTTTTATCTCTCTCTCTCTCTCCCTCTGGAATCAATAAAAATATACTTAAAAAAAACAAAAAAACACCTGTCACATAGCAGGTGCTCAATAAATCTCCCATGGAGGATTGAGTGAGTGGGAGGATGCAGGACTTGTGCTCATCAATTCACATACCTTTTCTCATTTACTCCTCACAAGAAATCCATGGGATGGGTGCTATTATCCTATAATCTAGACCAGGAAAGCAAGGCTATAGAGGTTTCAAACAGGTCCATGGTCGTGGGCTGATAAAAAACAACAACAACAACAACACCCCCCCCCCACATACACACATACACCCACACACACACACACACACGCACCCCAGCAGGTAATGACTGGAATCAAATAGAAATGTGCACCCTGCTTTCCCAAGACATTTTCCCTTCCTGACCCTGTTTTCCCATCTGTACAATGGGAACAAAAGTCATACTAATACAGAACCTAACACTGCAGGTTCTCAGTAGATATCTGTGCCTTGTCTCCCAACTCTGAGGCTTATTCAGGGCAGAACTCCCCGGGGCCTGAAGCGTCCTGCGTGCCCAAGAAACAGGTGCATAGCTCCACAGTCACATCCCCAGCGGCCAACACTCAGTGGGCGTTTAACCAATGCATGCTGAGCAGAGAGGCATCAGGGAATGCTGACACATCCTCAGACACAGAACCACAATGGGGACTCAGACCCTGGAACCCCCGCCCCAGGATCCCTGCCAGTTTATCCCCCCCCCCCCCCCCCCCCCGCTAGCCCAAGGCGCGGGAAATATTTAAAACAATTTTATTCATGAAAATATGCTGTACAATGCACTCTACACGGCCTCGACACGGCACACACGCACACGCACACGCTGACTGACGGCACGGCCACGGTACACAGCCTACGAGATGCGCCAGGGACGCCGCGCCCACAGCCCGCCCCGCCCCGACACTTATAAATATGGGAGAGAGGAGCAGGGACTGGCACGGAGAAAGGGGTGCTGGGGTTGGGGTGTGGATCTAGAGCTGAGGCCCGCTGGAGAGGCTGTGACCTGTTCTTGGGGGTGTGTGTGTGGGGGGGAAGGGGGCGGTAGGGACTGCAAAGGGCACCTAACTGGAGGGAGGAGGGCAGAAGCTAGGATGGATTGGACCATGAGGGTGCAGGGTCCGAGGGCGGTTCAGGGCTAAGGACAGTTCCGGGTGCACAGCCAATAGGTAGCTGTGAGTGTGTTTCCTGGAAGGGGTTGCTGGCTCTCGGTGGGTAGGCTAAGACCGGTGGAAAGTGTCACTCGGGGTAGGCGATTCACCATCTCCCGCGAGGGCCCCCGCAAAGGAAACTTGAAGATGCAGAGACGCCCTCGCTCACCTCCCCCCACCTCTGGGTAGGCTTCTCCAACCAGCAGCCCATTTCCCTCCTCCCCACTCCCACCCAGTCCGGAATTCAGCCTCCACCCCCAGGCTTCCTGCCCGGGGAGCAGGGGGAGCGGCTCTCAGGGAGTCTGGGCAGGAATGTGGGGTGCCCCAGCCCCTCCCTACCACATCCCCCAGCAGCCAACTTCTGAGAGATGTCTCTAGCAGGGCTGGCTGGGGCTGTCTCCTGGATCCTCCGTGGTGGAGCTGGGATCAGGGGGGGACGGGGGCCCGGGGATCGGGATGGGAAGACAGAGGCCCTCTGGGGGGCGGGGCTGGCACCCTGGGCGCAGCAAGCGGATCCTCAGCCCGGCACCCAGCTCTGGTTGGGGGGCGGGGCCCCGGCCAGGCCGGGCGGCGGCGGGGGCAGCGCCGAGTCGAAGTTGAAGTCCATCTCGTCGCTGTCCATAAAGTCGTTGAGGATGATGGACTCAACGTCGCACTCCAGGCTGCCGCTAAACATGTCGAGGTCCAGGTCGGCCGGGAAGCGGTCCGGCGGCGCGGCCCCCAGGGGCCCGGCGGCCGCGGCGTACGGCCCGGGCAGCGCCTCCAGCAGGAGGCCGCCGGGCGGGCCCCCGAAGGCGGCCGCGTGGCCCGGGGGCGCCAGGCCCGCGGCGCCCGCCTCGCCGGGCTGCGTCATAAGGCTGATGGGGTGGGCTAAGGCACTGCGCGAGGGCACCGGCGGCGCGTAGGGGGCCGCGCCCTTGCCGGGGTAGGCGGCGGCGGCCGCGCCCGCCAGCGCCAGCTCCCCGGGCGCGCCCAGCACCGGGCCGGGGCGGGGCGCGGGCGGGGGCGGCGGCAGCAGCGGCGGGGGCAGTGCCCCCGGGCGGAAGGGCGGGGCGGCGGGCGCGAAGCTGGCCTGCTTATTCTCCTGGATGGTCTGCATGGGCAGGCGCCGCAGCGCGCCCAGCACCGGAGGCCCGAAGCCCCCGCCCCCGCCGTAGGCGCCGCCCTTGCAGCTGCCGAAGTAGGCGGGCGTCCCGGCGGCGCGGGCCCGCGGCGGCCCGAACGCGTCCTGCGCGCCGTCCAGCAGGGCCTCGGCCATCCCCGCGCCGCCGCCGCCGCCGCCGTGCAGGCCCATGCGGCCCCCCAGCTCCGCCAGGCGGGGCAGCTCCCCGGGGCAGCGCGCCCCCAGCGCGGGCGACAGCGCGCTCGCGGGGCTCGGGTACATGAGCGGCGACGACGGCGTCAGGGCCTCCAGGGCCTCGTCGTCCTCCAGTTCGGCCGCCTCCCCGAGCAGGGGCCGCCCGCCGCCGCTGCGGAAGTCGGCCCACGCCTCGTAGTCGTCGCTGGCGTGCGAGGCCGGGCTGGTGGCCCACTTGGCCGCGGCGGGCACGGGCCCCGGGGCCGGCGCGCCCGGGGAGCGGTCGTCGGGGCTCCGCTCGGGGGCCTGCAGCTGCTTCTTCTTGCTGGCCTTGCCCTTGATGCGCAGGAACTTGGCCCCGTTGTCCATGGACACGGCCCGGCGCCGCGGCGTCTTGCCGGTCTTCCCGCCCTCGGGGTTCAGCATCCACCAGGAGCTCTTGCCCGTGCCTTCGTTCTGCACGCGGATGAAGCGGGTGTGCAGCGACAGGTTGTGCCGGATCGAGTTCTGTGTGACCAGAGAGACAAGGACATGGGGTCGGGGAGTGGGAAGTGAGGAGGAGGAGGCCATGAGTAAAGATGGGGTAGTAGTGATGGAAAGAGAAGGGGGAGGGGATAGAGAAAGAGATGGATAAGAGAATGGGGGGGTGGGGGGGGGAAGAAAGCCAGAAGGGGGTTAGGGGAGAAAACAGGGAAGATGAAAAGGTGAATGAGGGAAGGGATGAGGGGTGAGGAAGGCAGGGGGTAAGCATCCGGTCAGACAAACTCAGAATATCCATCCAAGACCCTACAACCACCTTATCCCTCCCCCGCCCCCGCCCCGGTCCCCCGCAGGCACTGCCCAGAGGGTGGGGCCAAGCTTTGGGCGGGGCCTTTCCTGGGAGGCATCGCCAACCCCGTGGGCTACTCTCAAGGGGTCTGCAGCAGGAGAGCAAGATCCCTCTCTGACTCAGCCAAGCCCCACCGCGGAGCTAGCCAGGCTGCCAGCGCCCCCCGGCCCCCCCATGCCCCTCCCTAGCAGATTATGTAAGGGCTCCTGCTGCTGAGGCTCATTTGTCCGCCCCCCTCCCTCCTTCCCCAGTCTGGCATGGCGCCAGGAGCCCGAAAACCCAGGGCTCCAGAAATCAATCTCGTGGTGACTGATTAAGCCCTGTTTAGAACTAATTGCTCTTTCGTGTGTGGGGAGAATAAATTACCTGCTTTAATTTCGTGTCTTTAAAATGCAACTGCAGGTAGAGAAGACTGTTAACCCTTTGCGGGGAGGGCCTGGCCAGGGAGAGCCGAACAGGTTGGGCATCCCCAAGGTGGGTAGAGAGAGGCCTGACGCTTTTCAGAGATTTCCCCTGAGCTTCTGGGAACTCAGGCACAGAGGCCTTGGATTCCAGCAACATACATCCATCCGACCCCGTTTCTGCTTGGTGCCCCACCTTCAAGCCAGCCCAGCTCTCTGGCCTGCCTTTTGGGTTGCAGCCCACCCTCCCTACAAAGCCCCATTCCTGGTGAAATCTTCACAAATCTCCACAAAGCACGTGGCATAGTGTCCACCTGACAGACAAGAAGACCAGGCTCAGAGCGGTGGCTTACCCAGGGCCGCACAGCCCTTTCTGCTGTCCCAGGCACTTCCCTGGGCTTCACCCTTTGTCACCCCGGCACATATCCTATCCTAAATGTCTTTTGTGCCAGTCTGTAGTGCTCCCCACACGACTGCCTGCTTCTGCCAGGCCTGTCCTGGCGACGGAGGAAGGCAGAGGAGGCCACAGCTAGATTGACTTCACAGGAACTTATTGGGCCTCCCACCTAGTGACCTTGACCTCCTGGCTCAGGTATTGCTGTGAAAACAGCAGGCGCTTGGGTATCAGAAGGCTGATCAGGACGCCTGGCTCTTTTCAGCCACCTAGCTATCTGACCATGGGCTGCTGGCTTAACCTCTGTGAGCCTCAGTGCTTTAGTGAGCTGCCCTGAAAAAAACTGGGTGACATTCAATAACCACCTCAGAACTCGCCAGGTGCTCATAAACAGTTCAATCCCTCACCTTGTCCGGAAGACCCTCACCTGCTAGATCACCCATAGGCCTGCTCTGTCTCTACCTCCTTGCTATTATGCTGACTGTAACTGTGCTGGGCACCAATAACTCTGGAGAGCTGGCATTACCCATCTCAGGTACCAGAGAGTGGAGGCCCAGAGGCATGATGTGACTTGCCCATGGCCCCACAGGCAGCAATGCCAGGTACCACTCCAGATCTGCCCAGCTCATGGACCTGCTCTTACCTCTTTATCCACCCAGCCCTGTAATCACTGACCCGTGAGGTCCCTCCCTCCGGCCCCCTTCCCATCAAGCTCCAGAAGGAAGGGTCCTTTCTGCGGCCAGGGTACCCTCCCTCAGCCTGAACTCCAGAGCACCTGGCTCTTCAGGGCCCCAGGTGCCCTGTCTCTGGCACTTTCTGGCCTTGGGAGGTGACAGCTGGGCCTCCAAGGCCCCTCCCAGCGTTGCCCTGCCTGGCTTCTCCTGGGACCCTGAGAGGAGGGGAGCTGGACCCTCCAGGGAGTGGTACTCATCCCCTTTCCTGCTCCCGCCCCTGCACCTGCCGCCCCAGCCCCTCCCCACACCTGTGTTCGGGAGTGGGGGGGGCGCACAGGGGCCTCCGTTCTCCCAAATGGGACACCTGGCTCACAGAGGCTCCGCCTCCCAGCCTCTCCAGCTGAAGGCCAGTCAGGCAACCCCTCTTGATCAATGTCACTTATGTACCAGCCTGGTTCTGAGTGCTCAGAGGTAGGGGGAGGAGGAAGGACGTCACCAAGTACCAGCACCTACTCAGTGCCACCTGTTCAACTCTGGGCCTTGTAAGTACTTTATCTCCTGTAATCACTCTATCACACTCCACACAGTCAGAGATTGTGGTCCCTATTTCAAGATGAGGAGTGTGAGGCTCGGAGAGGTGGAGGGCATTGCCAAGTTCACACAGTGTACGAGGCAGGGCCAGGTATTGATTTCAGGTGAGTCTCACTGAGTCTAAAGGACATCACATTCCACCCATGGGGAGAGAGAGAGAGAGAGGAGTTGCAGGATTTCCAAAGCATCTTATGAAGCCAGCACTCCAGTGCTTCTCAAACTTTCCATGTAACCATTCCCAGAAGCTGGCAGCCTGGGAAGACTGGGGCATATTCAAAGATCAAAATTCCTTACAAGTCTTGCGCTTCCTTTTTAGAATTCAAGGGAAGTTAGCATTGTACGTCATAATACATCCACGTTTCCTTAATACAAATAAAAGTGTTTCAAACTACCACCAAGAGCATGTGTTCCGGGCCTATGACAGTTTGTGTCCTTCCCCTCTCTGTTCCCGGCCCAGCCAGGTACCCCCGGGTGCCCGAGCTCCAGCCCGAAACCATGACTGATCAAACCCAGAGAGAAGAAAGGTCTCGCCAAAGCCGCCCAGGCTCTGGTGGCAGAGCTGAAACTGAGTCCAAGCCTCGGGATCCCTAGCTTGGTGCTCTTCCCCCTCCACCAAGCTGCATCTGGGGCAAGTCCCTCCTCACTCTGGGCCTCAGTTTCCCTACCTGTAAATTGATGAGATGGGCCAATGGTACTCTGAGGACCTTTTTAATTTGATAATGAAAGTTCTTGGAACCATCCAGTCCAGAGGTCTTGAAACCTTTTGTTTTTAAAGCTCTGACGCTCTTTTTTTTTTTTTTTTTGTAAATGGGATCTAATGCAATACTTGAATGTTACACTCTTAAGTCGTCAGGGGAGGGGGCAGAGGTGCCGGAGCCCTCTCACTCATCACCCGCCTTGCACTCCCTCTTCGGGAGGGATTCTGCAAGCCTGACAGGGCAGATGGATGCCATGCCTTTCCCAGGGTCACCCAGGGAGGAGGCCCAGAGCAAGGTGAGGACCTTGGCCTCTGCCTGCCGAGCTGGGCTCTGCATCAGGTGTGCACCAGGGCTGTGCCCCATGAGGGAAGCCCAGGCTCCGCAGTCTAGTCTGGCTCCTCAGGGACCAGCCACCTGGTACCAATCAGAGCTCTGGGCCAAGATCCAGTGGCAAGAGCCAATCATATCTAGCCCACAAGGCCTCCTGGGAAGCCAGAGGCCACAGAGGTGGTGAGGGAGGCAGAGAAGGGAGACGCCTCTGCCAGGCAGCAGTAACCAGGGCTCCCTCTTGGAGTCACCTAGCAACCCACCACCACAGCCACACCCTGGCATGCCCGGGCTTCCCTGATGCCCAGAGCTGGGCGGGCTTCTGGGGCCTCCTACCTCCTACACCTCCAGACAGACTTGGGGCGGGTTCCCAGGAGAAACAGAACCTTTCTGGTTCCGGCTCAAGGAGACGATGAGGGGCAGAGGGAAGGGACAGTGGTCCTCCTATGTCCATCCTACTCTCCTCTCAGGACCTGGCCCAGGAAGGCCAGTCTCCAGAGGCCTCACCCACCAGAAAAAGGCTGGTGCAGGGCAAAGTGCATGGGCTCTGGTCTGAGCAGTAATTCATTCACCTGACAAGCCCAACCCCAGGTTTGGCTTCATGCAGATCTGGAGCAAGATGCTCTGAACCTCAGTGTCGTCCAGTGGTATCTGCTTCTACCCTTGCTTCCCCACAGCTCTCCGCTGTGCAGTAGCCAGTGATCCTTCTGATGACCTCGGAACCCTCTAGTGCACCCATCTTACTCAGAATAAAGAATCCACAAGCCCCTCTGTGACCTCTCAGACCCCTCCCCTGACATTGTCTGGCTTGAGCCTCCCTCTGTCCCTTGAACCTAACAGGCATGGTTCCACCTTGGGGCCTCTGTCTCAGAGAAACACTGTTCCCCCAGATACACCAATCCCTCTCCTCCTTTGAGTCTTTGTCCAGATGCCATCTTTCAGGAGGCCCATCCTGGCCACTCTCTTAACAATTGCTCTTCTTCTCTGCCATTTCTTGGCCCCCTTACCTTATTCTAAAATTTTCTGAAGTTATTATCACTTTCTAAATTAACCTATTATATAATTGGTATAATATATGTATAAATTAATAAATTATTTGTTGTATGTATAAATATATCATTTATCTTCTGTGTTTATTACTTATTGTCTGATTTTCCTTATATTTAGAATATAAGAAAATTAGAACATTAGAATATAAGGGAGCCTGATGGGCCCCTCACTTAACTCATGAGGGATTTTTGGCCTTTTTTTTTTTTTTTTTTTTTTTTTTTTTTTTTTACCATACCTCATGAGTTTGATATATACAAGAAGTTTAATAAATATTTGTAGAATGAATGAGAGAGAGAAGGGAGGTAATACTGTGTCGGGGAAGAATTAATGAGACTGGGTAGCGTAGCTGGCACATGACAGAAGCTTCTCCAGACTGCACTGAGAGAAGGCAACCTAGAATAAGGGATAAGTGCGGAGCGGAGAACGTCAGGAAGAGTGTGATCCACAAGGAGAATGGCAGGGAGGAACATGGCTTCCAGGAGAGGGGAAGGCTGTCTCACAGGGTGAACAGAGCAGCTGCCCGCTCCAGCCCCTCCCCTGCACCCTCCTGCTTCTCTGTGAGACTCGGTTAACCCAGGGCCTGCTGCAGCCAACGGTCCTCACAGCCTGTACCACCTGAGCCAGAGACACCCCAGGAGCCGCAGCGGGAACAGAATGCCCTCGTCCTCGGGGATGGCGTCTCCCTTGTGGTCAGGGTCTGATCCATGCGGTGGCGGCAGCTCATCTATCCAGAGGGACGCCCTCATCTATTCCCAGGACACCCTTCGCCCACGAGCAATAATGCATTCACCTGACAGCACAACCCCATTTATCCAGCACACCAGTCCCATTTATCCAGCAAGTACAACCTCATTTGCTAACAGCACTCTATTCACCTGATGGGCCCCCTCATTTATCCAGCGGGACACCCTCATTTATCCTCCAAGTCAGAGGCTCCCCTTCCTCCCGTGGTGTGGCTGTGTTCTCTGACGGTGCAACCCGACTGATCCAGCAGGACGTCATCTCTCCTACAAGTACACTTCATTCCCTGACAGTACAACCTCATTTATCTAATAATGCAGCCTCACCTTGCCTCCAAGTACCACCTCATTCCCTGACAGTACAACCTTATTTATCTTCCAGTACAGCCTCATTTCTCCTTCCAGCACAGCTTCATTCTCTGATAGCTCAACCTCATCCAATCTTACTTCTCCAGCCAGAGCCTGTCAGATCTCTTGAGGAGGGTGTGTGTGTGTGTGTGTGTGTGTGTGTGTGTGTGTGTGTGTAGGAGAGAAAAGGGGTCCCGCCATTCCCTGTCCCATGTCGACAGAGAGCTGCCTGGCACTATGACTAGGTCCAACATCCCCAGGTCCAAAAGGGCCCACAGACTTAGAATTCTGGTTTGCTTGGCCCAGCCAGCACGCCCTTTTGTCCCCTCTGGGGACAACATGGATTGCCTCTAGCTCTCCAGGAGGGAAAAGTTCCCAACTGGTTTGATTTATAGCTTTTGCTGATTTATGTGGCATGGATACTCCCATCGTAGCCAGTTTTAAGCTGCCAGTATGACGTGATCACTGAGTGCAAAATTGGGAAGTGTGCAAGATGGCTCTCATGAGCCAGTGCAAGCCAGCTCTAGCACACCATTGGCACATACTTCCAATACCCAGGCAAGAGAAGAGCAGCGCCTACTACATGCCAGACTCAGACGAGGCTCATTACATACTATTTACAAAGGGAGGAAGCTGAGGCTCAGGTGGGTTGATAAGAAGTGGGGAAGCGATGGAGCCAGGTCTAGGTCTCTGACCTGTTGGATTCCAAAACCAGGGCTCAATGTGGTGGCTGGCAGTGCCCTGCTGCTCACATCAGTGGCCATCCCTGCCTTGGTTCTCAAGCCATCACAGACAGGAGACCCAAGGCTTGTGCCCCACCCACTGTGAGCCCTGTGCTACCTCCTGGCCTCCCTGGCACCTACGAAATTCCAGGACCCTCCCAGTTCAGTCCAGGGTCTTGCCCATCCATCTAAGCCCCAAACCATGTATGGATGTCTCTCTAGGTTCCATCGCTGTCCACGGTTCATCCTAGCCCCTCCCTCAGGAAACTGGGCCCGTCTTTAAGATGGGGATGATGATCCAGCCCCTCCCTCAGGAAACCGGGCCCGTCTATAAGATGGGGATGATGATCCAGCCCCTCCCTCAGGCCTCCCTGAGCAGAGATCGCCTGTGTGTGTGGGGGAGAGCGGGAGAGGAGGAGTAAGTGCAAAGGTCCTAATCCCCTGACAGCTCCTATTTCCTCTCTTCCTCCCTCCCTTCCTCTCTTCCTGCAAGAAGAAAGGTCAAGGGCAGGGGTTGGAATCCCAACTTCATCCAAGTGACCCTGGGCCTCCCCTGTAAAACAGCGTGACAATCCCAACAGCCATGAGAAGAGGGCTCAGACCTGAATGAGATCCCACATGTCAGGAACCTCACCCCTCCCTGTTCAGAGCCCCCAGGAGCAGCCTCTGGCCTAAACACTCACACCTGTCTCAGACAGAGCCATGGACTCTCCAGGGGTCACTTGCTCTGCTGCTTGGGGTGAAACTGGGATGCTCAATCCAGGCAGGCTTCCTGGCAGAAGGGGTAGCCTGGATGACCACAGGGACCTGAGACCAAGTATAAATCCTTGGTACCAGGGCCTGTAGTAGAGGAGGGGCAGAAGGGCAGGCGGATCATCAGAGCCACAGGTGTGGACAGGTCAGTAGGCTTAGAGTCAGCAGTGGGACAGAAGTGGGCAGCCAGAGGCCCGAGAGGAATGTCCAAAGCAAGGCATTAGGTCAGGATAGGACCTGGAACTCCCACACACACTCCAGAGACAGCAGAACCCACACACCCAGCCTGGGCAGCAAATAAATCAGCAGCAGAAGTCCAAGTTTCCCCCTAGATGGCTCCTCATCACCTGTGGGCTTCAGTCCAACTCCAGACTGCTATTAAAGAGCCCTTGATGCTCTTCAGCTTCATCACCTCCATTCCCTTAAGCCCATCTGAGACTCCAGACACCCCAGATGTCTCACACCTCCATGCCTTTGCACACTCTGTTCCCTTTGCCCTTCCATCTCTCTGCTCAACCGGTTTTTGCTGCTCCATCACAGCTAGCTCTGTAGCTTCTTCCTAGTCCCCTCTGTGAGCCCCAAAGAGAACTGCTCCCACCTTAGTGCCATTGCAGAAATCTAACTGCAAACCGGAGTACAACTGTGCGTGAGCCTGCCTCCCCACATGAACTTGGTGGGCAGTCCTTAGCTCACAGTCAGCCACATATAGGATGGAGCTCTCAGGGCCTGGCCATTCTGTGAAGTTTCTGTTCAGCAAAACCTCCGGCCAGAGCTCCAGGCCTCTCCTCCTCCCTCTGGTTTCACCTCCCGTCCATTCTGCCTCTGCCATTTCCCTCCTCTTCCTCCTCAGCACCTCCTGGCTCCTCGGGAGAATTCAGGCAAGTGAAGAGGGGAAGAACCAACCATTTACTGGACATTCACCACCAGCCCTGCACTCAACCATTAAATCTTATTGAGTTTCTGTGACAACACCCCTCTGAGTGTATCTATTATCCCCATTTTATAGATAAGAGACTGAGGCTCCAAGAGACAAACCCACCTGCCCGAGGTCAGAGGGTGCAAGTGGTGGTGGGAACTCACACCAAGGCTCTTTGACTCTGAGGTGCCCAGGGAGGAGCCTTGGCCAGGCAGACGCTCCAGGGTGGGCCTGGGATGGGGGTAGGAGGTGCTGTCCGCACTGGCTCAGCAGCCCCTCCACAGACGTTCTTCCCTCATCCAGGATTAAAGGGACCGCTAAGTGAAAAGCCATTCAAGCCTCTCCCCGTCTCTCCTCAGTCTGAGCCCCCTCCTCCCTCTGCGCCAGCATCCCCCTGCACCCCTGCTCAGGCCCTGGAAGCAGCTGCGGTGACCTCACCGAGCCCTGCCCTGGGTCTGGCTCTGGGGAGGGCCCAGCAGCTGTGCCCTGGCCCTGCTGGCTGGCTCCTAGGGGGAGAAAAGGAAGAGTGGGCATGGTGCCAAGAGAACCATCTGCTCTCCCAGGGGCATGGCCACCCGCACAGACACTGGCCTCACCCCAGAGGCTGCCCTCGGCCCACTGTCCCCATGCCAAGGGGCCCTAGGAGCCCAGGCCAGCCCACCCAGACTGGGGCATCAGCCCTCCTCTGCCATCTGTCTTCTCCTGGATACTGAGAAGTCCTTACAGGACATGTTGGAGCATGCATGTCCACTAAAAAACGAACAAGTGCTCAGGGTAAGCGCTGGCTGCAGAGGCCAGAGGGCAAGGCTGGGTGTGCTGAGCCCTGCCCGCCCCAGCCTTGCTGGGCTAGCCTGTGATCTCCTGGGGAGGGGCCTGCATCCCCTCACATCTGCTCAGCTGGCAGGTGCCTCTGGCAAAGGGTGAGCCCCTTCCCCCACAGCCCCAGCTCAGGTTACAGAGGAGGCAAGGCCAGCTGAGGACAGGGGGAGGGGACAGGAGGGGTGGAGGAGGCATCACAGCTTCCCAGAGTGCTGGGGGAGGGGGAACTCAGATCTCTAGATAGGACTCCAAGCCAGAGTGGGGAACCATGCCCAAGGTCAAAGCCTCCCAGTAGCTAAAGAGGAGCTGGTGTCCAGGGGCAGGTAGCCCTGGGTTCAAGAGTGACCTTGAGCAAATCATTGTCCTCACCTCTGAAAATACAGACCCTACACCCTGCCTGCTTGCCTCCCAAGGCCATGGGGGTAGGCTCTGTGGGCTAGAGAGCAGTGGGTCAACCTAAGGGCAGGACAGAGCTTGGACATCCTGAATATCTGATACCTCAAGGACAGCATGGGAGGCATTAGAACAAGAACCTCCCTCCCCCCTGCAAGACACACACACACACACACAGACACACACACACACACACACAGACACACACACACACACACATCAGTGTCTCTCAGGGATCAGGGCTTAAGGACCCCAACTCAACACAGTGGTAGGGAAGTGGTGAGCAATGATTAACAGTAATGACATTTACTAAGATTTATTGAGCATT